ATAGCTTCCGAAAGACCTTCTCCATCCGGATCGGTGTCATCGGTCTTCATTACCTCGTTCTCGAGTCCACCCGGGGCGAAGGGGACGTAGGCCGACTTGCCGCGCACGAAGTTGCTAGACGCCGCGGGCTTCCTGGCCATGGAGGCAGAGGATTTGGAGTCGAGAAGAGGCGCAGAGGTGTGCGATACTTCGCGGTACGACACAATACGGCCGTCCAGACCAGCACGCACGAATTCGAGCGAGTGGAGTGACGTGCTTGGTTCGGCCCAGAGCATGTGGTCGAGCTTGGGTTTGCGAGACCAGTGCACCTGAGCGCGCGTCAGCTCTGTGGCCGAAAGCGATTTTGACGGAAGGAGAAAGTCGTCGACGAGTGCCTCGACAGTGTCCTCTACGTCGGACGCCGGGAGACTCGACATTTGTCCTGACGAGCTTCGCATGGCTGCCACGGTGCGGTTGTGGGCGTCGATGGCATCGAGGGCGCCGTTCGCGCGAGCTGCCATGGCTGCGAGTTGTTCACGTTGCAACGAGCCCAAGAGGTTTCGCTGGCGATGAGGTGTTTGTGGAAAGGATAGAGCTTTCGAATCCGCTGTCGAGAGCGCCTGGTGAAATCGGCATCCGAAGAGTGGAGGCGAAGACCTGAATGACACAAGCTTCCGCCCGGCGTAAAATCGGAAGTCGGACGAGGTTGCTCGAGAGGATTGTGCGTCGGTGCGGTGCGGAGAAGAAGGCCGCAAGCTGACGCCAACGGAGCCGCGCCAACTGAGCCGCTCCGCACACTCGAGCTCTCTCCACCAAGCCACTTCGCGCTCCAGACAGAATGAGGGATCCTACCACTTGCACCGTCCTCTACAAGATCCTGACTCCGCAGGAGAAGGACGCGCTTCCTGCCACCAACTGGGCCGGGACCGCTCTCGATGTAAGTTCATGCAGTCTGGTTGGTCGGAATGCGCCGCTGAGCTGACACGACGCTCGCTGTAAATTAGACCAAGGACGGCTTTATCCACCTCTCGTCGGCAGATCAGCTCGCTGGTACGCTGGAACGCTTCTTCAGCCCTGCGACTGGCTGCGGCGACACTCTCTACCTCTACACTTTCGACCGAGCTATCGTGGACAAGCCACGTGAAACGCCCATCAAGCTCCAATTCGACCCAGCGATCGGCACTCTCTTCGGCCACATCTACGGCGTAAGCTTCTCTGACATTGTCCTCCATCGCTGTGCACATTCTGATCCCTTGCTCTGTCGCGCTCACATCACTAGAGCATTAACCCGGAGTCGGACTTCTCCGGCCCCATCGAGATCAAGCGTTCCAGCTCCTCGGGTCTCTTCGAGCTCCCTTCCTTGCAGTTTTGACCAGCCGCATAGCGGGCAAATCTCAACGATACTTCTACTGATACTGCTGATTCCGAGTGGTATCCAATGTCATTAGAATCCTATTCTATCGTGAGCAAGTAGCAGAGATCGAGTGGTGGAGTGGGGATGTCGTCACTTTTTGTTCTCGGGGTGTTCGTGTTCGGCGTTGCTTTCCAGCTCTTCGAGCTTGTTCTCTGCCGCACTCTTTTCCACCTGCAGACGCGCACGACGCAAGTCCGCCCTCACCCATTCAGGGAATTCCATGCGCTCCATAAGCATGGGGATGTGGTGCGGCAGGAAGAGCATGCGGTCGTCTTGAATCTTGGGCACCACGGCACCCTGTGGCTTGTCAGAGGCCTCTGACGACTCCGTCGGTGGAGGCGGGGATGCCTGAGCAAAGATCTCGTCGAGCTCCTTGCTTTCTGTGGGCTGCACGCGGTCCTGGCTGATCAGCGTAGAGAGATACTGAGACGACTTGTACGCTGTAAACAAGGTTGCATCGATACGAGAGCAGGTGAGTGTCAACCAGCGTGCAAGGCGATTGAGATGATATGAGCCGTTGCAGACCTACCTTTCCAGTGACTAAAAGCCCTGTACACCAGATAGAAGAACGGCAGGTTTGGAACCACCGCTGAAATCAAGGAAACGGGAGCAAGTGAGTCAGCGTTTCGTCAAAGATGAAAGCTCGCAACTGGTGGAGGCATCCTACTTACGAACGAGCGCGAATGGGATGGTGATGGGCATTCCCACGACACAGTACCAGAAGCGACGGTAGTGATGCGGCGTGCGGTGATCTGTCAAGTTCTTGAGGCTCTTGAGAAGCCTCTGTGGTTCGAGCAGCGAGGGTGGGTACAGCAATGGAATGTGATCGAGCTTGGGGATGCCGGTGTCCGTTGCAGCCCCGTCGGCTTGCTTTGCCTTTGACTCGTGGCGAAGGGGCCCCATAGCAGGGTCGATCCCTTTGAGGGCCCATTCCTGGTACTCGATTCGGTCCATGAGGCGCTCGCCGAGGACGTAAGTTCTGCGCTTCCAGTCAAAGGTGCTCGTCTGGTCTGTGCGACCGAGGTCGATCCAGAAGGCTGACGCTTTGTTGAGGAGGCGTGTGCTGAGTGGTGGTCTGGATGCGTCGTTCTGCTGCTTTGCTGCGGCTGCTGCTGCTGCCTTCTCGGCTGCTCTAGAGGCTGTCTGGGCGACAAACGTCGAGATGGGATGCGAGGATGGCCTCGCGCGTGCCAGGGGCACTGCTATGAGCCGCATGATCACGGGATACGAGGGTCGCGAGCCACGTCAAAGATCGTCGGCGTGTTCTTGCGTGAAGACGACTGATGTGCGTCAAGACAGTGTCGAACCGTGAATGTGTTGAGTTGACAAGTGCAGTGGAAATGATGGATGAGTAGATGGAGTCAATAGTTGGAGCCTAGGATACTGCCGCTGCAGCTGGCGAATAGAGATGCACGTGCCAAGAGCGAGCTCCGCCTCAACCGCCGCACGCAAGTTACGTCGTCATGTTTCCCTCAGCTCTGGCTCTGGCAGGCTGTGCCTCGAGGCGAAACAGCGCAAATTTCCGGAAGAAATTCCACTCGCAGACCAACTTGACAGCGCCACTCTGGCTCTCTACGGTATTATTTTTAGGACTCGCCCGGCTGCGCATCTGGCTCAGCAGGACCCGTTCGCGTGATGGAAGCTAGATGTCTCTCGCACAGCAAGGCCGTTGAAGCCCGTCAAAGTATCCTTCTTGCCTGTGCAAGGTTGATCAGCCCACGCAATGGCGTCTCCCCGTTTGCAATCCGGAGTCAAGCAAGTCGATGAGGGTGCGCGGAAGCGAGCATGACAAAGCTGCTCTGCAGGGCCCGCATTGATTTATTTTTGATTTTGGCACTGCAAAGCCTCCACATTTCGACTCGAGTTGGGCCGACCGTTGCAGGCTCAAATCACGTGAATTGCTGCGCCGCGTCGCGGTGTTGGCTTCAGGAAACACGCCGAGCGTTGCGAGTTTTGTGCATTTGGCGGTTGGCGGTTGGGATCTGACATTGCTCGGCGTGGCCAACGCTTCACTCGTCGTGCAATCACATCACTCGACCATCCATCTATCTCGACCGCCTCGACTTCCCATCCACCGCCAAATCGTCGACTCTACAGCACCACTTCATCGTCCGTCCGTCCGTCTCTTCGAGGATCCATTCTGCGCTTGGACTCGGCGCGACATACATTCGCGTCCCCTTTCGGTGCATCTTGGCATCCAACCAACACAGCTCCCGTCAGGATGCCGACCAAGAAGGCGACACGCTCAACTCGCTCGACACGCAGCACAAAAGCATCGTCCAAAGCCGCATCTTCTGATGTTGTCTTTGACGAGAATGCGCATGCATCTGATGATCCTGGAGCTGCCAACACAAAAGCGCCCAGATCAGCTGCTGCATCCAAGAAGGTTCTAGGAGAGCGCAACGCCAACGACACCGCCGAGCCAAGTCCAGTCAAGGATCTCGCTCAGCCGCCAGCCACAAAGACCACCAAGTCGAAACGTGGGAAAAAGAAGGCGGTGCAAGACATCGATACAGCGAAGCAGTCCACAGATCCGCGCTGCACAACACCAGTCCCGTCTTCGCCCACAAAAAAACGTCTGCCAGAGGATCAGGTGCAGGCGTGCTTGCAAAACTATGATCTGGAGTGCCAGGCTCGCATGTCGCGCCTCCGAGCCTCGCTCGAGATGTCGCTGCAATCGTCCATGACGCGCATGCGTCTGGCTATCGAGCGCATCCCGCGTGCCGTGCGCGAACTGTCGCTGGCCACATTCATCGACGAGTACGGCGCCGACATCCACGCATTCATGGGGCGTGCCCCTGTGCAGCATCTTCAGGATACTCAGAAGGAGTGGGATCAGATGAGAGAGGAGCGCTCACCGATCAAATCCAAGCGTACCAATAAGGACGACGAGGCCACCGCTAAGAGCCGAGACCGCAATTCGAAGGCTGCTCGCACCGTCAATGCCACGGCATCATCAACAGCCTCGCGAGCTGCCGCCTCCAAGGCCAGCGCCGCCAAGGCCAGCTCGGCTGCCGCTCGGCAAAAAGCAACACGATCCACCAAGCCCAGTTCTCGCTCCACACGCGCATCGGCAGCGGCCCCCTCTTCTCCTCCGCCCTCGACGTCGTCCAAACCTGCGCCGAGCCTGGCTACCTTCCAGCCAGAGCTGCCCGAACAAGCGCTACAGACTCCCAAGCCGCGCATGGCTCGGCCGGGCGAGGTGATCCAGTGGACCAGCATCAACGGCTCGCCCATCTGCGGCATCATCGGCGAAGACGGCGTCGTCCGTCCCGTCTCCTTTGCCTAGCCTCGCTCTCCTTTTCTATTCGTCACCTCAGTTTCCATTTGGCACACACTGCAATCATACCCCAGATACATGCTCCCTTCCGCCACGCCTGGCCCTTCGACGAAACATGGATGGACTTGCTCGAGTTTGATTGCGAAAAAATGGTAAGGGACAATGCAGAGGAAAACGGACAACATGATGGGGTGCGGGACGCGGGGGTTGGGTGGCTGAAAACACGGTGTTACTTTGGGGTTGCGGTGCTGAGCCGATGAGCCCGCGAAGGTTGGATGCGGTTGGTTGCATTGATTGGCCGACCCGAAAGGCGTTCGGCAGTGTGGCTTAAGCATACGCTCCATGCACGTGTGTGCGCATGCTGGCGGGCATCTCTTCTCCCTCGCCAGCCTCGTCATCTTCGGCCTCGGGCGAGCCAGCAGAGAGCTCCTCGTCCGAATCCGAGTAGGCGACATTCTCTTCGGGCTGCGACGACGGGATGGCCTCAAACTCCAGGAAGCCCGACGACAGCTCGTCCTCCGACGACGGCCGGATGGGCCTCTGGACGCGCATGATGAGCGCGTCAATGTCCACAAAATGCACCTCGTTGGTGGCAAACTTGCGGTGTTTGCGGTCGTAGATGTGCTCGGTGAAATCCTCGTACTTGACGCGGCAATTTTCGCAGTAGCCTGGCTTCTTGGCGGATGGCGGTCGATCGACGGCACTTGTGCTTGCGCTACGCTGCAACGCCATGCCCGGCGCTCGCTGGTCCTCCAGGCCCAGCATGCGACGCACTGTAGCGCCCGACTCGGCACCTCGCTGCGCAGCAGGACTTCCGATCGCCCCGCTGCCTCCCTCGCGGTGCAGACCAAGCCCGCTCGCCGTCGTGCTGCCCGCCATCACGCTCGCAGGACTCGCGTTGAGCAAGTGCAACGGGCGGCTGTATACGTTCGACATGTGCACGCGCCGATTCAGCTCCGCCACACGTCGGTTCTGCGGCAGCCCCACCGTCGCGCCCGTCTGCTGATCCGTAAAGATGTTGGATGTGGTCGAGGCAATGTTCGAGGTGATCGAGACGCTGTTGCCCGATGCCAGCGGGTTTTGCTGACGCTTCATCTCGATCGCGCCGAGCTGGGCAGCCTGGGGACGCTCAGCAGGACCCAGGTTGGATCGAGCCATGTTGTTGAGCGACACGGCGCGACGAAGGCTCTGCGGCACTTCCAAGCGAAGAGGACTGACGTCTTCTCCGTCTCTTGGCTTGACAGCGTTGCGTTTGGGCGCATAGAAGGTAAACGGACATCGCCCCAGCGTCTCACCGTACACGACAGGCCAAGGAGGCTTAGCTTCTTCCGCCTTTTCGTCGTCGGTGTAGGTATACTCGTGGCTGATGATCGGGCGGTGCTCCATGGTAGCATCCTCCACCAGGATGTACTTCGAATGTTTGTCGAAATAGTGGAACGACGATCGCGCTGCAGAAGGGTCGCGCTCGGTGGTGCCGTACACCTTTTCCATCTGGAGCATCTTGGACAAGTCCTTCTTTCTGGGGCCTTCAAGGTCGCGCATCGAGAGGTTCAGGAGGCGCACCACAACATTCTGCAGCTTCTCCAGCTGCCAGATGCGCATACCGAAAGACTGAGCCTTGACCAGCATGTCTTGCGGGCCGTACTGGCCCCTGGGTGGTTCCTGCAACGGATTGCGTTCGGAGAATAGTGGGACGGGGCGCCGGCTTGAGTTGCCACCAGCCTTGGTCGAGGCGGCACGCGAAGCGAGAAAACTGGGGCGGAACAACTTCTGCGCCGACAGCCGTTCCGCATTGCAGCCGCCCGCCGACGTGATCGGCTCTCTCGGCGCTGGCTCTCGTGGTGCTACCTCGAGCGATGCTGGCTCCCCCGGCGCTCCCTCTTCAGGCACTTGGCGCGTGGTGATGACGTGGGTGACGCGCCGCGAGAAGAACTGGTCGACGTGACCGCCGAGCTCCAGGATGAACTCGCCATACCTTTTTGCTGAGGCGGCGTCGACCGAATCAAAGTGGAAGATGAAGTTGGGAAAAGCGCGTTTGTACTTTTGACGCCAGATTTCGTTCTCGGTCTGTCTGCGGCGAGACTCTTGTACGACCTCTTGCGAGGGCTCCTGCACCTTTCGGTTGGTCTTGACCGAGGTGGCATGCGCCAGCGCGAGAGTCTGCTGCGAGGCGCGAACGCGGTCCATCGACGCATGTGCATGGGCAGACTGGGACGCTTTCCTCGCGTCTTGAACCCGAATCCCATTGAGGTCGGTGGCGAGGGCGCCGCTTACGCTCTGTTCGGCACTGCTGCTGTCGGTTCCAGTTCGGGAGGACCGACTGCGTTTGCTTGGGCTGTCCAAGACGACATTGCGGACGTGCGACTCGTCGATGGGGATGGCGCGCTTCTTTGGCGTGGCGATGCCATATTGTGGGAGAGTGTTCTCCTGGTTCGATCGGTCTACGCCGAGATGGGAGCGAGCGATAAAGTTGGGTAACGCGGATGCGGTTGCGGCTGCGCGAGGACGAGGAAGGCCGCTGGCGCCCGGCACAATCGATCCGCGAAGCGGTTGTTGGGCCGCCGGCTTGCCAAGTAACGAGGCATCACGGGGCAGTGCGCTTTGTGTCGATGTGTTCTTGACGCTGAGCGGTATACGCGAGCTAGGCTGATCGCGAGTAGCACTCATGCCGAGTCCGATACCGTTGTGCAGCTCGAGGGCTGTCACAGACGAGATTGGGTCAAATGGCAAGGGGACACGTCGAGGGACCTGCGTCACGACCGCATAGACCTGAGCGTTGCCGCGCCGTGCTGGAGATACGTGATGTCGACCGACGATATCGGGTTTTGCGAGTTCGAACAGGATGAAAGGGGCCGACGAAAGCGTACTCCTAAGCTGAAACGATGGCAGTCAGAAACCTCCACGGCGCGATGCCACTGCTGTATGCGTCGAAAAATGAGGTCATGCGCTGTGAGCAGCCATTCCTGATGCGCTGGAGCTCGAAAAGAAGGCAGACACGATGCCGAGGGGGGGATGCTATGCTATCACGGAGGCGGATAGGTGAGGAGATGAATGCGGCGCATAGACGGGGGTTGGGATGCGGCTTCGAATGCTATCGTGTCGGCGCCTCAAGATATAGCGGGCTGAGACGGGTTGTTTGGTCGATCTGGCGAGGTTAGGTTGAATGCTTTGGCGCGGGTCAAGGGTTGGACCAGTGCGGAAGATTGCCTCGGGCGGAGCTGCTTTGCGCGCGAGGAGAGCTGCGATCTGGATGCCGGGAGGCCTTGAGAGCCTTGAACGCGTTGCTATCCCGCGTCTGCCGCTACCGCACCTGTGGATTGCCGAAGAAGTTGTGCACTGAGCGGGGCGAGGCAGGAAGGTCTTCGAGCTGGTCTGAGATGGATGGTCAACCTCGAAAGGAGAAGAAGCAGCTGACTGAGAGCCACGCCGACACACCCACACACACGCTGGGAACGCTCGACCTTGACGCGCCCACACCCAACAGCGATTCCGAGTGCAGCCCGAGGCGGCCAGGAGGCACACTGGCAGACAGGCAGGCAGGCGTGTATTTTGCAGGCGCCGTCACGCTGTCTACCTGGCTGCTCACCGCGTTGTTGCTCGGCCCACTTCGAAAAAAAAAATCCAGAGCGCGTCTCCACACGCTCGGCAGCGCCTCCTGTTGCCAAGCGCCATTGGGCGGCGCCTGCCTCCTGCCTCGTGCGTGCAGCAGCGAGGCTTGTGTTGTCGGCGCAGCAGCGCTCCCGCAGCGCTTCTACTAGCAAGCCCGCCTTGGAGCTGCACTCCTTCTAAGGTCGACTTGAAAGCACACTGCAGGGTGACAAAGGTGAAACGGGCATGAGCTCAAGCCGCTCCTCGCACGCATACAGCACGCCTAGACGCGCTGCGTTCTCGTCACTGTGACTTTCCCTCACATCCTAAGATCACCGACGCCCGAATGCAACTTTGTCACTGCTGCAGCAGCTGACTGCAAGCACCGCGACAGATGATCCCTGACCCCTGTCGTGGTGATCATGGGCCCCCTTAGAAGGTGCAGGCTGCATGCCGTCCACGACAGGCACGCCTTCGCAGCCATGTGATTTCGCAGCCCAGCCTCGTGTGACAGTGGAGAAGACGCGTCGCCGCGAACAACACCGCGACGTCACTCCGACCGTGATGTGACCATGCAAAGTGGCATTTTCTTGGACCCTTGCATTTTGCCGCATTTTGACAGCATCAAATCGGCGAATCGGAATCGCAGCGTGAGACCGATCCGATGTCGATGTTCGACCTTGCCACTCACCTCGGCCTTTGTGCATCGAGACAGCCTCCCTCCAGCATCTCTCTTTGTGAGCTACACGAGACAGAGTCGGGAAAGCGGCGATTGAGCATAGTATCACGAGCGACGCGACGCAAGCTAGCGAATAGTCGACAAGGGAAGTGCGGTTGTACGGTGCGACGAAGACGAAGACGAAAGCGGACCCCGCTTCGATGGAGACAAGGAGGCGTGTGACGGAGGCAGGTTCTCCTTGAACGGCGAAGACTGAGTGTCGATGGCTCGCAGCTTCTTTGAGGGACTCTCGGCCCCCGCATTGGAGGTCGCCTGTCTCTTGGACGTGGGCGACGAGCGTGGCACCGAGGACTTGGCCGCGTCCGAATCATTGGTCGTAGTCTCGGCCAACAGCTTGTTTGCCTCGGCGATGGCGCGCGACACATTGGGAGGCGCAAGAGGCTTCCAGCCGTCCTTACCACCGAACACGCCCCATGGAGATGCATCGGGGCTCATCTTGTGGCCCTTGGGCTTGCTCGACTTCTTTCCAGAGCCAGTATCCAGCCTGAACATAGGGCGAGATTTGTTCAGCGGCGTCTTGTAGGGCTCGTTCTGCTTCTTCAGCGCTGTCGCGGTAGGCGACGCCTTGGACAGAGCTGCAGAAGAGGCTGCGGGAGATCCAGTCGCCTTTTTCGCTTTCGAGCGCGTAGGTGTGGATGACGTATCCGACACCTTGGACGCTTTGACCATCGGTGTCAGACCCGTGTGGTCGCTGTGACCATTCTGGCTTCGGGCTGGAGGCGAATCGTCCATGGCTCGCCCGGTCTGGACACCCTGCGACATTTTGCGGAAGGGCGATTGCACGTTTGCTTCGTCCATGAAGATTCCAAGTCCCACCAGGCCCGGCGCCTTTGGAAGAGAAGCTTGGATTCTGGACATGGCAGCTCGATCCTCGTCAGAATGTGGATCCGGGTTACGATCAGGTCTCGAGTCGGACACTGAGTGCTGGATCCCCTGAAATGAGCCCAGCGAGGACGCAACACTTCCTGACTGCCAAGGACGGGATGCAAAATGGCCCCGCTCTTGGACTCCAATCAAAGGAGCGCCTGGGCATCTCGGACTTCTCGCGTATCTGCTTGTCTTTGTTGCCAAGTCAAACGATGATCTTGAAGCTGCCCGAGGTGTCCTTTCGCCATCGCTCGGACCGCTGAGGACCGAGTTGTGCGGAGGACTTGACGAGTACCCTGGCGAGGACCTCATGGGACCTTTGTTCGCTGTGGCAAAGAAAGGAGACAGCGGTGTTGCTGGCGGTCCAATGGAGCCAGACGGACCTTCACTTGGGAAAGATGCACGCCACTGGCGGCCGCGTCCCGAGGAAGTGGAAGACATGGAGCCGGATCTATGCATCATCTCGCCCGCCTGACTTGATCTCGACGAGCCGACGCTCAGGAAGTTGCTCGAGGGTGGCGACAGGATCTCCGGATCGAACAAGTCGGTAAGGCTTGGAAGACGTTCAGTTCGGGCTCCAGGAGACCTCCCCGGACAGAGACTTGAGGGTGTCGAAGGCATGGCGAGATAGTGGTGACGAAGACGATCCACCGACCTAGACGAGTCACAAAAGACATCATCGGAAGAACCTAGAAACATGGAGCTGTTGAAAGAAGGAGATGGCATCGACTTGTCATCCGACCTTCGACGTCCGAAAGAGATGTTCGACGGCCTCGGACGGCCTTGTCGATTGGCTGAAAAGGATGGCATCTTTATGTAGGTACGAAGGGATTGCTGCGAGGTGTTGTTCTCCGATTGATCGTGAGCGTTGTTGCACTTCAGGTGAAAGAGACTGTCGCTCCGAAAGGTCGGGTGCTGTCGAGCGAAGGCTGAGAATAGGTTTGCCAGACGGAGAAGGCGTTCGATGTGTTTCGATCAGAATGAGAAACGATAGGGTGGTTGGATAGAAGGCGGTGAGCGGGGGCTAGGGTGGTTCACGGAAGCCTTCTGTGGACACCGAACAAGTATATACTCTTTCTCCGTCGTGAGCTATTAGCCGTGCGTCGGTAGGAGCAGGAGATGCTCCGATTCCCAGAGTGGCAAGCTTGTTTTGAACCAGCCTCAACAGCGTTGCCCTTCCTGCTTGAGAACGGCAAGCCATTGTCGATCGCGGAACGGCAGTCATGTGGCGCGGGCCAGCAGCGCCCCGAGCACAGCTAGCCGGGGACGCTGCTTGCCAAAGACGGCAAATAAGACATCCTGCGGCCGGCTCTGAAAGGAAGGATCGACATTGTGCAGCAAACGAGCTCTTGGCCATGTCGTCCGTGCAGCTAGGGAATTAGCCGAGCCGCTCGTCTGATCGTTTTCGCCCAGAGAGGTGGCAGAAGCAACTATCGGCGAGCCGAGTAAACAGAAGCATTCGAGCGGAGCAGCCTTCAGGTGCCAGTCATAACGCAGGCAAGACGGGGAGGGAAAGAGGGGACGGTGGCGGCATGAGGCGAGGAGCATATCACAATTCACCTGTCGAGTTGGGCGGGCCGGCGTGCAACGCCATGCAGGCAGTCGCAATTCCGAAAAGTGCCTCTGGAATGGCATCGCGCGCCAGCCTCTGATTTCCTTGCAACCCCGGCCTTTGTCTGATCTTCATGTAGGCTGAAACCTTGTCCACATGCCTTCCGCTCTGGACAGGCATTGCTTCAGCTGCCCAGCCACCAAGGGACTGAGGCGCAGACTCCGCCTGACTCCAGAGTGTCAGGACTACGCATCTGCGCCTCTGTACGAACAGCGCTCCGGTTTCCTCACCTACGTGTCTCCATTCGTGAGTCCCCGTCGTCTAAGAGCAGAGATCCCGACGCGAATTTCGGAGTGCACTACAAAGGATCTGCATCTTCAGGCGGGCCATGGAAGCGACGAGCGACAAGCGGCTAAGCATGCCTTATGTTGACCGGTCCTTCAGTACCTGCTTTGACCGCAGACTCAATCGACTGCGAAGTTGCGAGGCTGCAAAGCTGCGAAGTTTCCACGGCATGCGCCGTCTGGCTGCCGCGGGAATGCAGCACACATTTCCAATGTTGGGCGGGCAATTTCAGATACCTGGCAAGATGGCCCGATCGGGGTTACCCCTGAACACGATCGAAGTGAGATCGGCAGTTCAACCTGAACCCTGTTACATCTCCTTCTCTCAGTTCACGCTCGGAGGTTTGGCAGCCCCCTCGAGAAGGCTCGGTGTTGATCTCGAGTTACACGTCGATGCGAATTCGGAATACCAGCTACAAGCCCAAATACAAAACGGCACTTCAAAATTGATAGTGCTCGGACTATTTGAATATGAGAGCCGCTCGACGCGCAGCTCCGCTCTGCTGCGCCGTGGGCACTGCAGGGGAGCTGGGAGGATTTTCGAAGGCCACGCCGGCGCACTTGCATCGCCACGATGTTGCGCGACGCAAGCCAACCAGCAGTCAGTCCCAGGCTTCGGATTTTGGCCACAGAAAGTGGAATTTGCAGGCCGAGGCGGGCAGAGTCGAGTCGAGTTGGGCAAAGCAGAGGGGCGGAGGGCGCCAGCCAGCAGGATGCACGCTCGTCTCGCTGCCCCCCTCCAGGCACGCTGACACGCACGCATGCCCGCACGCTCGCGCCTTCGCCTTCTCTGAGTTTCGCGGGTCAGGGAGAGCGGTGTGCCAGTTGCGCTTCGTCGCCATCACCCACGACCATCATCTTCATCGACCCGATCATCCCTTGCCGTCGCTGTCGATTCGTCCTCACCCGTCCTTCGACTCATCGATCCACCCTCGTTCCTCGTGGGTATCATCACCTCTCGTTCCACCTCGCGGACCGCCTGCGCACGCATCTACCCAACGACTCTGCAAGCGGCGGCCACGATCGTCTGGTCCAACTCTTTTGCTGACCTTGCCAACTCATCTCGATTTCTTCCAACCTCCGCGCGACCTCGTACTGCAGTAGTCACCCTTCTCGGCGTAGAGAAACTTCCTTTTCAACATGGGCATGTCCATTTCAAAGCTGCTCTCCGGCCTCTTCGGCAAGAAGGAGATGCGTAAGTAGACATCAACTTCTCGACACATCGGCTTCAGCACCAGCAATCGACCCCACGCCCCCAATCTTCCGCCGCTCTGCCGTACTCTTTGTGCACGGCTCGCCTCGGAACGCGAGCTACCAGGTGTCGGGGCTCTGATAAGAGTTGACGTGCTGCGATCTTCAGGAACGCACCAGAAGCATCGGGGCCTGTAGTGGTCGATTGCTGCATCGCCGATAACTGCGTGCTCTTTGCTGCCGACGCATCTGCTCACCGCCTTGATTTCTCGTTGTGCGTTTGCTCTATCCCGCCTTGCTTTCTCGCTCGACAGGAATTCTTATGGTCGGACTCGACGCCGCCGGTAAGACCACCATTCTCTACAAGCTTAAGCTCGGAGAGATCGTGACCACCATCCCCACCATCGGTAAGTAGCCGAGAAGCGGCCAGCGACGGACGGCTTCAGCATCGCTCCTCTTGTGGCCGGTTTGACTGACACGTGCCAATTCATGCATGGCACTGCGCCGGCTGCTTCGCACTCACAGGCTTCAACGTCGAGACCGTCGAATACAAGAACATCTCGTTCACCGTGTGGGACGTTGGAGGACAGGACAAGATCCGACCCCTCTGGAGGCACTGTAAGTTTCATCTGCTCATCTTCACTGCTCCTACGAGCGTGCGTTGTCGCTGACCCCCAAACGTTTGTCTATTTTGCAGACTTCCAAAACACCCACGGCATTATCTTCGTCGTCGACTCGAACGACCGCGAGCGTGTGTCGGAGGCCCGCGAGGAGCTCCAGCGCATGCTGAACGAGGACGAGCTGCGCGATGCCCTGCTGCTCGTCTTCGCCAACAAGCAGGATCTGCCCAACGCGATGAACGCTGCTGAGATCACGGACAAGCTCGGCCTGCACAGCTTGAGACAGCGACAATGGTTCATCCAGGCCACCTGCGCCACCAGCGGCGACGGTCTCTACGAGGGTCTCGAGTGGTTGAGCACCAACCTCAAGAGGCGAGCTTAAACGGCACGCACAAGCAACAGCTTGGCCTGATCAGCCTGTGGCTTGCCGAGCAAGGCCGACGCCGTAGTGCTGTTCAGCCGTCTGAGCGTTGCCTGTCTTGCCGTTGCACCCGCTTGAATCTAGAACACAAACCCTGGTCATCCTCACCACCACCAACGTCGTCATCACCTGCTGCCGTGCTTTGAATCAAAATCACTTGGACAAAGCCCTGCGAGCGCAGGACTGAAAAATGTGGATAACCCCGCTCCGACCTCTGGCCGTCGACGCATTCTGGCCCTGTGCGTACTTGAATCGAATCAGAACGTTCCCAACCCAGAATGCTGCGTGGCTTGCCGCCTGATGATGGCTTAAGGTTGAGACGCGGGGCAATGACGAGCCGGAATCGTGTGACTGTGGGCATTGCGACACCCTTGGCTCAGAAGCGCACGCTCTGTGGGGCATCGACCCCGTCGAGAGAGCTGACGCAGCGGTGGTGCAAGTCTCATGCGGGCTATCCGGAACGCATACATTGCTAAAAAGGACAGACATCTAGGAGGACCTGCCATGATCCTACTCGGCAGCAGCGTGGAAGAAAGAACCTCGGAAAGTCCGTGGCAAAAGCTGTTCGGCGAGGCTGGCCAACTTGTGCGGGGGGTGACCGCATGCTTCTTGATTGGTTGATGGCCTTTATCTTCAGATCGGCATCGGGCGATATCAAGAAGGCCGGAGCGCTTCATTGCGGATGAGAGAGCGTGGGGCGCTGTGGTGCGGATGCTTTCGGTGCAGCTCGTCGAGGGCCCAAGATGCAGCTTGGGCGGATGACCTGCGACGGATGCTCGGATGCGCCGAGGAGCTGAGCTCAGAGTGTGTTGCTCTCTGCCGCGTCAGAGGCGAGTGGAATTGCGGGCAGGCCGCCCTAGTGGCAGACACGCAGGTGAGTCGCGTGCGGCAGCAGCCCCAGCCTTATCTCCTCCACCTGGCGTGACCTGGCATGGTGCGCGAGTGCCTCTGAGCCGCATGCCGGTGCATCCGATTCAGGGTGCAGTGCATCTGATGCGGAGTGTGCCCGTTAGTCAACTAACTCAACTGATCCGTGCCCACACGCCCCTCTCCAGCGCAGTCCGCTCCTGCTCCGACCCTGGCTCAGTTGCCCGCATGTACTGATCAGGGCGAGGACTCCAGACCGATGGTCGAGCTGCCCAAGCCAGCCGGTGTGTATACGTTGCCCCCTTGAAGCGGCTCTCAAAAGGTCCTAGCGTCGAGGAGGTGCCCGACCATCCGAACCGGCCGTCGTTATCACAGCCTCGTTCCCTCTTCTCCACGTCCGTCGACTGCAGCTACTACTTAAGCTCCTTCTAGCCTCTGCCAGTCTCGTCCTTCATCTTCGTCCGAATCGCCTCGTTACCGCAACATCCGCTTTGTCTAGCAGGCCACTGCCTTCAGCGTACTCTGCTTGGGACTTTAAGCACCTGGGACATTGTCGCTCCGTGCAGCCTCGTCTCATCTCTTCCTTGGTCGAAAAGATGACCACGTCCACCGACCAGATCCTGTCGCGCATTCTTGACGAGCTCACCGAGCTCAAGGTCAAGAACTCGCATCTTGAGGCCAAGGTAGGTTCCCGTCGGGTTGTCGCTGAGCTCCGAGCAGATGAATCGAAACAGCTAGCTGATCGTCCTTCTTGCACCTTTGTCTGTGTGCCACGGCTGACCAGGTCGATGCGCTGCAGAACGCAGCGACTTTGCCCTCGCCGTCGTCGCAGGTTCGTCGTCAGAGCTCGTCCGGCTTTACTGCCCTGGGTGTTCACAGCTTGTCGCCTTCCCAGCCTGCCGACTTTGCCTTCGGCACTTCGCCTCCGCCGCAGCCTTTAGGCCCCCCTGCGCATCCGCTCGGAGGGCTCCCTCAAACCAACGGACCAAGCCCCATCGGTACGCCCGACCTTGGCGCCAAGAAACTTCCACCCAATGGCGCGGCTTCGCCCTCGCAGCCTGCTTCGAGCAGCTCCACGGCCGGCTACTACTCTTCCAGAGTCATCCTGACCACCTACCCAGGTCAAGTCGGCATCAAGCCGTTACCGCTCAACTGGGCGTCCGAAGATCCTCACAAGCGTGGCCCTGTGGTGGCGAGCCGTCATCCGAACTCGATTCGCGTCCGCAATGCCATCGGAGCTTATGGAGGTAGCTACTCGGTCTACCGCTCCCTTGCCATCGCCATGGGCCAGCTCAACCCCAACCATCGTCCCGACTACACCAACACCGAGCCTCCCTTTGACATCCCGCCCAACCCATCGTGGTTCGATCCGTCCAAGATCGTCGCCATGGATCCGTGGGGTCACTTGGCGCCTCAGGTGTACAAGTCCGAATTCGAGTCGGGCGTCGACATTAGGCCGACCGCATCGCTCACCAAGGCGCACATCAAGATGCCCGAGCTCGACAAGGCGCAGGCCTCCGGCGTTTTCCCCATCGACGGCAAGATCGTCGTCAAGAGCATCCGACTGCCTGGAGTGGCTGAAGATGTAGACCCAGGCTGCGAGGTGAGCGTCAGCAAGGCGGCCGTTGATCCGGTCTGGTATCTTCCTGGTGTTGCTGAGCGACTCGGTGTCACCGAAGGCGCGCTGAGGCGCGCCATCTTTGAAGATACGGGAGGATCGTACCCGGAACTGCTCACCAGACACGACCTCAAGGTGTTCCTCCCGCCCATCTCGGGTCTGACCGTTTACATCTTTGGAAGACCAGAGGACCTGCGGGATCCCACCAAGGAGGTGACGGTGCGTATCCACGACGAGTGCAATGGATCCGACGTCTTCGGCAGCGACATTTGCACGTGCCGACCGTATCTGCTCTTTGGCATCGAGGAGTGCATCAAGACGGCGCAGCGCGGTGGTGCGGGTGCGGTCATCTACTTCCGCAAGGAGGGCCGTGCGCTCGGCGAGGTCACCAAGTACCTTGTCTACAATGCCCGCAAGCGCGGCACGGATTCGGCGAGCAACTACTTCAAGCGCACCGAGAACATTGCCGGCGTCAAAGACATGCGCTTCCAAGCGCTCATGCCCGACGTGCTGCACTGGCTGGGTGCGACCAACATCACCAACTGGATCTCGATGAGCAACATGAAGCACGACGCTGCCGTCAACAGCGGCATCAAGATCAAGAACAGGTACGAGCTGCCCGAAGAACTCATCCCTGCCGATTCGCGCGTCGAGATCGACGCCAAGATTCAGGCTGGTTACTTCTCGGCCACCAAGCAGCTCACTGAAGACGATCTCAAACACACCGTCGGCCGCGCCTGGGAAGACATCGACCACTAGGCTCTGCATCCCCCAGGATGAACATGATGCATTCGTCGAATCACACGCCAGAACGTTCGAGCAGAGGGTGGGGACAAGGATGACCATTATCACGTGCGCAGAGAGTGTGAGCGAATGGGATCGATGTGGGATACAAATACAAAGAGACAGGACAGCGATCAACGAAGGCGACTGAGATGGGATGAGGATTGAAACGAATGGAGGTCTTTCTGGCACCTGATCGGTGCCTCGACGACGAAATTAAAGGATTGCCAGCATGGAACAGGAGTGTCCGCCAGCGGACACACGAGCGAAAGAGACCGGGACATCGATCCTCAGCTGAAGATCTTTGTTGTGCGTTTCTTGAGCCGATGCACCCTCCTCGAGATCTCGGATTTCTGGAAGGGGTTGAGCTTCGAGTCGTCCATGGCCTCCTCCTCGAGCGAGCGGAGCATGGTCTTGAGCGCTTCCGGCTGCGACAGGCTGCGCATGCCGTTGCCGCCGCGCGCGGGCCTGGAATTCAACGACCCATTGCCCACGGTCGAGACCGAGTCGACACTCGAGGTTGCAACTCGCATGTCGCTCTGCGATCTGACGATCTGCGAAGGCGTCGAGCCGAAGAAGTTGGACAGCTTCGAGATGGAGCGATCGTGCAAGTGGGCCGCCCTCTGTCGGCGCGACGTGGGAAAGCTCGACGCATCGTCGCTCTCGGGCAGCTCATCGGCTTCGCTGCTGTCGCTTTCGGAGTCCGAGAGCTCCAAGAACGCCGCTGACGGCCGAGGAGGTCGTTCATCCGACTCGTAGTCCGCGTGGCCGAGCGACTGGAAGCCTCGCCTCCTGCCATCTGGCATCGAGCCCGTCACGGGCGACGTCTGCGGTCGTCCATTGGGACGGATCGGACGACTCCTTGCGCTGATGGTGTCCACCGTAGACGGTCGAGGAGCTGACCGGCCGTGCTGGAAGATGGAGGCAAGCTCTCCCAGTCGCCTTCGGTCGTTTTCGAGGAGGTACTCGTAGCTCTCGATCGAGTTACGGTAAGTCGAAAGACTATCGGAAGCAGCGACTCTTTCTGAAGCCCTGCTACGGGGCGAAGAGGCAACCAAGCGCACGTCTGTCAAGACACGACCAGTGGCAATGGTAGGCGCAGCGTCGTCACCAGACTCCTCGTCCGAGCTGTCGATTGACATGAACGAGTGCAAGTTGGAAGCAACCGAGCTCTCGTGCGAGATGGAGCCATGGCTGCGGGATGAGGGTTGACACGCTGACGAAGACGGGGCGCCGCACAGGCTATGAGCGTCGCTGGTCGTAGTCGCCGGAGAGCCAAACCTGGCCGGATCGGATGGTCCAGTGCTGACGATGACCGCGCCGGGACCTGCCTTAGTGCCCGACGAGATGAGCTCTGCAGGCACGGCCTCGCCCAGCCAGCGCGACATTTTGGCCACACGACGTCGTCGCTCATCGCGGGCAGCCGCCAACTTGCGGCTCTCGGAAACGGCCAGAGCCTGGTCGATCTCGGAGCGATCAAAGGGTCGGAATGGGCCGTCCTGAGGCAGAGTAGGTGAAGCGGCTTCATCGAGCGCAGCAGCTGAAAAGGCCGCGAGCTGGTCAACTTTCGGTGTGGGTTCGTTGAATTCCTCCAAGCCCGAGGGAACGAAGGGACGCGTGTGAGAGCGGATTTCTTCGACGCGATTTAGCTCTTCGTCGCTTGAAAAGGTATCTCCAGCGTAAACGTTCGCTCGTGCGTTCGACGAGTAGGGATGGGGGATCCCAAGGACGTCGGCGGCCTTTCGGTTGAGGTTGAGATACACTGCATTCTGATTGAGACCAGAGCTAGCGTGATCCCAGCTCTTGACACCGTGCGTTCGACTGTGAAGCAGCTTGCGAGAGAAGGCGCGCGTCTTGCTTCCTGCGTTTGACGCAAACGTGCCTGGAGCGTCGACGTGTCCGGTGGCGCTGAATGGCATGCTCTGGGGTCGATGCTTTCGGCTGCGACCATCCGCCGGCGATGCGACAAGCGAGTGAGAGCGTGGTGCGGGATCGAGCTGCTGGCTGTGAGCATTTGTGGCGAAGAGCATCTCCTCGCCGAGCATTTGCGCAAGCTTTTTGGTGCGGCGCACTTGCTGGCGCCGCTCCTCGGCGGACAGCTGATTGGTGGTCTCTGGGCGGCCTGAGCTGGCAGAAAGATGGGGCCGCGGCAAGTGGAGGTCGCGGAGTGGCGCAGCCGAGACGGTGATGCTTCCGGCGGTCGCAGGTCGCTGGGAACGGCCGTGCAACCTGCCTGAGGTGGCAGCGCGGTTCAAAAGAAGGGGGCTGAGGCCGCTCTCGAAGCTGTTTTGGTAGCTGAGCAAGCTGCCTTCGGAAGTGGACGATAGGATCGAAGCCGTGTAGGGACGCTGAAAGCGTGCTTCGGACGGGCTTGCTCGAATCGAGCCTAGCGAGCCTCGTCCGAAAGGCCTTGCAGGATGAGGAACGTACTCGGGCTCCAATTTTGCGTGAAGGCTGGAAGGGGTGCCAGTGTCGTGCGCTAGAGACGACAGCGAAATACTGCTGTGACTGGCCGAATAGTTGTGGTTGGAGCCCTGCTGTGGCTTGGCGAGAGCTGCGTGAGCGACGAGCGAGGATCTGCGCAGCGAGGCCAATCGCTGAGGGACCTGAGCAGGCGTGCCTGGAGTGCTGGAGGTAGAAGCCAGCGACTCATGTTCCGATATGAGGGGCCGCAAGCCCGGGCGGTAATTTGCCCAGGCCGCCTCGGCTTCCATCTTGAGTTGGGACAGATGTGTGTCTTGCTTGACTGCCTGGGGTGTCTCCTCTTCCGCACTCAGGGGTGCCGCAGCGGGCTGGGCCTGGGTAGACTGCAGAGCAGTGTCGTTGGTCTGCAGAGCCGCGTCAGTGTCGGAGCCCTCGTCAGCGACGCTAAGAAGGTCCTCCTTCGCATCGGCCCAAGCGGCAGCGCCCTCGTGCGTGTGCTCTGATTCATCGCTCCACGGACCGAAGGTGGCACGGTTGCTTGTCGCTTGATCGTGAAGGTGGTGTTGGCGAGCAGGAAGGACAAGGTCAAAGTCGGGTGGCAGAGGTGATGCGTCGTGCAGGAGATTGGGCACGCCAGGCGATGCGGCGATGGCATTGTATTGGTCGGAATCGATGACCCAATCGATGCGCGAGGCGGGTCTGGAGCGCAAGCTGAGCTGGCCCTTCATCCTGGCGAAGTCGCCGGGCTGCAGGACCTTGTAATCGTCGAGGCCGCTGCTGCCATGGGACGATGTCGATCCGGTCACTTCGCCGAAGCGATGCGGTTGGGACGATGTAGGATCGCGCGTGCATGCGCTGAGGGCAGCTGTTGGAAGACCGGTGAAAGTCATACTGTGGATCACGAAGGAGAGGACTGTGAACGTTTGCTAGCATGCGCTTTGAGTGGACGGTCGGGCGGAGAGTAGTCTCGAAACTTCAAACGAGAGACGGCATGTAGAGGATGGCAGACGGCGCCGGGCGAATGGACGAAGACTTTTGCTGAGTCGGAGCGAGAACGGTGTCGAATCGACGTGATGGTGGGAAGGCCGGACGTGAAGCTGGGACGAGGGGAGGCTAGCAGCAAAGGAAGAAGAGGGGTGCAAGAGTGGGTGATGCGAGAGGCATTCAGGGTGATATTATGTTCGTCTCGACGCCTGCGTCGGGATGACTGTAGGTGTGGTGGGCCAAGACGTCGTGTTGTGTGACAGTCGGGAGGGCTTGACACAAGCTAGCCAGCGACTCGTCGAGACCCGACCAGACGAGGACAAGCGCGAGAGAGCGCGTTGGCGGGCGCAATGTGGCACTCTTTGCGAAGCGAGGAGGCGCTGCAGATGCGACCAAGGAGAATCGTGCGCAGTTGTCGGAAGCGATCCGAGAGGTGGGGGTACGTGCTGCGCCCAAAGCTCCCTTCGACGCTCTGTCTAGGCAAAAAGCGGCCACAATGAGAAGGATCCGAGCGAGAGAGAGAGGTGAGAGGGGGAGCAGAGGTCGACGATATGCAGAGCCGGGCCTTTCTTCGGGCCAACCAAGACCGCAGAGGCACGGGACGTTGCCCACGGCAAAGTGGAGAGCGAAATGCGGCTTACCGCCACGCTACCAGGGGTGCAGCCAGACTACACGCGAGGAGGCCAGGGCGGCGCGCCGACTCAACGCAGTTCAAGAGAGTGTGCGCATTCGAGTTGCAGTTTGCAGCCTCCGTCCTGATCCCACGCACTGATCCCACGCAGGTCTGACGCTCCAACGCAAGGGGCGACGCGGTCCCTGAATTCCAGGCTTTTTCCGAGCAAGGTATCCTGCGGCGGCCCGTGTGTGGCAAGCGGCCTAACGCTCCTGCCTCTGCTATGGGCGTAGAATTTGAGAAACAGCTTTTACCTCGCTTGCTGCTTGACGCGCTGAACACGATCCACGCGATGCCGTCCTGTTCAAGCTCTCGGCCTCGCCTTTCTGAATCTTCGCGAGCTGATTCGAAGCGCAAAGGCGAAGAATGACTGCTCGACGCCTTTGCTTGGGATCGGAAGGACGGCGACGAATGACATGCCTTGCGTCGAGAACGCAATTCGACTCGATGCGATGCGCCCACAGCAATTGTTGGCCGCGAGTCGAGGCTGCATGAGGCCCGCCCGTTTGCAGCTGATGCTGCTGCAGCCAAGTGGGATCGCGTGGTGCTGCGCAGGTCAGGAGGTGCTGTGAGGGCAGCGGAGACGAATTCAGGAGCACAAGGCCAAGGCGTGTGGCTACAGTGATTAGTGTGGAAGCCTCGCGCACCAGCACCTTCCACAAGAACTGGAGCTGCATGCAGTCGGGCGCACAGTGCCCTTGGCTGCACGGACGTGTAGGTGCGGAAGTCCGCCGGCTGTCACGGAGCTCATCGCTTCACGACCGTTTGACTGTCTTGCATCTTCCGCTGCGCAGCATTTCGGTACCCCCACTCGCCATCGAGGCCACACTACACTCAAGGTTATTACCCACATCGCGCAGCGCTACCGTATCAAAGTCGAGTCGCTTTTCATAGCTGCCGCCGTGAATCTGCGCCATCTGTCTTTCGATCCGCTGACCTGAAACGGTTGCTTTGGGTGTGCTGATCGTCTTCACCAGTTTGAGAAGCCTGGACCAGGCTGAGCTAAAATTTCATCTCACTCCGACCCGCTTTGCCGTGCCCAGGCGCGCATATTGAAACGAGTCGGGCCAGTTCGATTCGTCGAAGTACGCCCCTTGAGCTGTCAGGCATTGCTGCAATAGCCTCGCCTTGCTCAGAACAACACATCCGACCTTCGAACTTGCTGTTTCGTGTTGGCTTTGCCTGACTGAGACAGCATAGGCTTTGTACCTGACTTCCGTTCAGTCAGCTACTGCACGAACGCTGCTGTAGGACCTTGGAATAGCAATCAAGTCCGCGCCCCGTGCCTAGGTCGACATTCCGTCAGCGGAGCAATGCGTGCTTTCATTTTCACCGTTTCAATCGCTGACACGCTTAGAGCCGCCCTTGCCCCGCACCAATCCAGCATGAGTGTCGGCGTCGGCAGTCGCCTTACGGCATTGGCGCATCTCGACCGACGATTCATCTGATTGGTCGCCAGGAACGAGACGTGAGGTTCCGAAGCTTCCACAGTGTATTCGCATCCGAGGTCTTCCACCAGGTTGCCGAGGAACAGCCCGGAATGCCAAACAAACTGTCATGTCTCGCGAGATCTCCGCCAGCGACGTCTTTCCGGCCCCTCAACATGCGCAAATGTCTCATGTCAGGGGGTCAAATTCAACTCCGGTCAGCGCAATTCGAGCTCTCCTCATCTCGCTTAGGGCCCGTCTCTCATGGCAAACGTCCCGTCTTTGTGTCCCGCTCCGCTGCATGCTGCTGGCTACAGCATTCGAGACCCATGATCGCTGCTGGCTCAACAGGAAGCGGAGTGGCCTGCTCGGCAGGCTGACGTGGTGTTACTTGCCGCGTTGGCATCTCTTGATAACGAACGATGCCGTTGCTGATTGTTAGATCCGGCTGATCGCTTCCATCGAGTGCAGGGGTTGCTGGAATCTGCCGATCCCGATCTCCGTTCTCACGTCCTGCACACTTGGACACACAAAGGGGTGCCGAATGTTTAGGTCCCTTTGTTCGTTCTACCCTGCCTGCCCAGTCCTTGGCTTGTCACTGTATGTCGGCGTCGGAAGCCCTGCTTTCCCACGCGCGCGATGAAGGTACCTTCCTTTGTTTGACGTAGCCTTGTTCGGCTGAGTCCCGTTCGTGCCTGAAACCAACAAGCTCAGCTGGTACACTGCCTCTGACGTCTCCGTGCTTCCCTTGTCCTGGCCGTCTGCTGCCTCCCTTTGTTAGTCTCATTGTCTCCTCCACTGTATGACCAGGTGTCTGTGTGGACGACCAGTGCCGCCCATCTTATAAATGCAGCCCATACTCGGCCCCTCACTTGAAGAGTCGTACTTCTGAACCTTCATCTCGGTCCACTGCTTCAGCACTTCCACCATGACGATGAACCATCCCAACAGGGCGCCCTTCTCGGCGAGAAAGATCTTCACGCGCCCCGCCAACCTGCACCTCGTAAGGTCCAATGGAAAGGGGCCTTCGACCCTCGCGCCAGTCGACACTGCCTCTGAAGAGCCGCACTCGAAGATGGAGGATCTCAAACCGCATTTCGCTCAGCCGCCGATTCAGACTATTGCTCCGTGGACGTCGTTGAACGCTTCGCGACAGGAGACCACTCCACACCCCTACAGCTCATTCTCTCTTTCAGGAGAAAGCGCTTGGGCTAGCAGCCCTTGCTCGTCCGTCATGTCGCGTCAGCTGTCAGCCAGGTTCTCGACTGCGCGGACATCGTCCAAGACCGTCTTGAAGGCAGGCGAGCTGACGTGGGCACACGCAGGAAGCGGGCCGAAAAGGATAGCCAGTGGCTTCGAATGGAGCAGGAGACGACAACGGCTGCACGAGCCCGTCGGCGGCCCCAGTCAGACTGTGTTCGCGGTACTCGAGCGCCACAACCTAGAAAGTCCGAGACGGGAGTCGTACGCAGCACGAGCGGACGAGTACGGTTCTCTTCAGCGAACGCCGTCGTCGATTCCGTACCTTGCCAGCCCCGGAGCATGTGACCCCTCGCCTTTCGATAATAACGAGCTGAAATCGTTGGTGCCACCCCCGGTGCCACTCTGCCTTGACGATCTCAGTCGATGGACGCCACCGTCTGAATGGGCCGTCTCAGAATCGGGGTCCAGCAGCCAAGACTCGAACGGCAGATCTTCGACCTCATCGAGCTCAGACCATCTCTCCACCCCAAAATCGTCGCCGGGCACCCGCAGAGATCAGCAGGAGACGTATCTCAATTTCTATTCTCGCAGGTTTGATCCTTCCCGCTCTGTTTCTGGGCGCCAGTTGATGCAGTTGCTCATCACAAGCGACAGCACCGTAGAGATTAAGCAGTATCAAACTGAAGTCTCTGATCCAGGCTCGTCCGAGCATCCGATCCAATGGCAGATCATCGTCACGGGACATTCGACGGCGCAGCGTTCTTCCAGCGAGTTCTACTCCACCTCAACTTTCGCAAACAGCGACAGCACCGAATTCTGGACTGTCTGCACCTTGACTTCGCCCAACGTGGCGGAGTTGAGGTCTTGGCTGGACTGTCTCGAGTCTGTCATCCAAGCTTGCAGAAAGCTCAGCAGCAGTAGCAGCAGCCGATCAGAGTACAGGAGATCGTCGAGCCACTCGATCCTTGCCACCATCCGTCTGCTTGAGCAGCTCGAGCTGCAGAGTCGGTGTGAACGTGGCATGCATCGCAGTCCATCAAGCAAGGTAGACGGAGAAGAACCTACAACTCCCGTCGTCTCGTCTCGCTACTTGTCGCCGACCGCAGCACGTGGAAGCACCACCGCTCCGGATTTCAGTTCTGGCTTTTCAACATCGTCCTTCATCGACAGCTACGCACTAAGCCCAGCATCGGCGGGTGCGGACGTAGCCGTCCAAAACACGAGCGGCATGGAGGCGCTGTACGACTATGAGGAGGCCTACTCGAGCATCATGCAGCGATTTTCGGAGTACGAGATCGCAAGCCCAATGGAAGCGCTTCCAACGCCGGCGAGACTCGATCCTCATCGGGGCCATGCGCGGTCAGCATGCCTTGACGTGCCCGTGTCGCCATGCAGCTTCGAAATCGGTCGCGACAGGTGGGTCGAATACGAAGGCGTGCCGGGTAGCCCACTCGATCCATGGCTTTCTCAGCATATCTCTCTGCCCGTGTCTGGCCGAAAGATGCGGGAAGAGGATGGGTTTGGCGACGATGCAGTCATGCGGATCTTTGCTGAGGGCTTTCGACGTCGTTCGTCGGCGGCCACCACGAACAGCATCATTCTTTCGGCCGAAACATGATCTCTCTGCCGTCCCCGTCCTCTTCTTTTCCAATAGGAGCAAGTTTCTCACATCTTTTGCCCTGTTTGAACAAGCTGTCCTGCCTGGCCACAGGCATTTGAGGGACTCCATGCTACAGTGCGAGCAGTTCATCAAGACCATCACGAATGCCGTCTTTTTTCCTCGAATAAATTGTACACAATTTATTTGTTGAGCGTCGAAATGATACCCAGATCATTCCTCCTGTTCGGCATCAGGTCATGTAATTTCGTTGGTCGTGCGCGCTTGACGTTGCAGCACTGACCGCATTCCTTCAGCTGAGCTATACACATGCTCACACAGGCGGTCCGATATGGATGACCAATGAAACTCAGCAGTGGAGTCGGCATGCTATAGCGGTATAGCCGGCTCACGCGGGATCGAGATCGGGCCACGTGCTGGATTTAGGCAGGAGGCGACCCTCTACGTCGGTCTCCCACTGTCACCGAGGCAAGGAGGAGATGATCGACGCGTCGGCAGGGGCCACTCGGAGCTGGACCCTGCACATCACTTTGGCTCCTTACAGACGCGACCTGCCCTGTCGCTCGCTTCGCCATACGCGTGTACCTGCCGCCCCACGCCACCCGGCGCTGCACCTGCCGGATGGCACAGCAGCGTGCAAGCAAGCGATGTTAGCGGCGCGCACGAGTCATTAGTACGCGACGCGAAGGTGATGGCAGAAGCGGATGCGACCACGGACTGCGGATAGGCGCGGGGCTCGATGCTGGACTCTGACCTACATTGGACAGCTGGCACGTCGCGCTGATGGCTGTCCAACGTCATGGCCGTAGCGCAAGCCGAACATTGGCTGGCGCGTGCGGCTGCCGGTCAAAACCACCTGAGGATCTCTCAATCACGCAGGTGATTTAGAGCGCTGTGCATTTGCTCATGGCAGACCGCGCTCTCTGGCAAAGCACGTCTCTTGCACTAGAACGGTCCATCATGGTCGTCAAGATGGTCGGGACGCCCTCGCCGAGGCGTGGAAGCCAGCGCGAATGCGAGCGCCTCGCTCGGGGTCGCTTGTGGCAGACCGACCAAGCGAGCGAGATGGCTCGGAGATGTGATGTCAGGAGTCCTGAGTGCCAGGCAGGGCTCAAGGGAAGAGCTCGGAGGCGAGGCTTCGCCTTTCAAGAGGAGAGGCCGGCAACGTGTCTGCTCGCATGGGCCGAGATTGCCACCGTCATGCGAGTCGAAGGCGCCCGTTCGTTGGGTCGAGAGGCCCAAGTGTGGGGGCTTGGTCAGGAACCCCTTGCATAGTTTCGACACGCATGCGGATCCAATCGTTTGGAACTCCAGCGTCGCTGAGGCGAGCTTCCATCTTGCCGCCGTGTCGAGTCCCGAAGCCAATTTCCGGCTCAAAGCTGCCTTTCCGGCTGCCGGCCTTGGCGGGCCACTGCAGCACAAGGCAGTCAGAGCTGCAATGGACAGGCACAGAGGTGGGCACGTTGACGCGCATCGCAGCGCACCGCAGCTCACCGCAGCATTCGGCACATCCGGCAGAATCTCACCGCACACCCTACAGGAGGACCCCATTTCTACAGTACGCCCATGTCGTTGCGAGGCTCCCGCACCTACGTCGTTGCCGTTGATCCCCATGGGAAGCGCGGATCAGGCGATTGAAGAAGCCATTGATTGGCGTTGCCGGCGCCACACAAACGCTTCGGCCGAGCTATGACGTGGTGTACTTTCGCACAACAAGCGTGTGCTTGTTGTTCGATCCGTCCATCGGCACACGGCAAGATGCCATTGCACGGGCAAAGGGTTCGAGTGGCCTTTCTCACCAACGAGCGGACTGCGAAACAACGATCTGTGACACCTCTGACGCCGCCCTGGACGAACAAAGCAAGAAGCCTCTCCGACCTCGAGTTCGGCTAGCAGGCTGCTCCGGGTCTACAGTAGCTTGCCTCGCTTATTGGCAAGCGAAAGTCAAACTCGTTTTTGGGGTTTTTTTATTTATTTATTTATCTATTTTCGGTTTTGCGGAGAGGTGTGAGGTCTCGCGCGAAGTGTTGGTCTCGGAGCGACGCGTCGTGCGGATTGTTGGGCGGGAGCCCTTATCCGCGGGAACTTATTCACCATTTTCAAGCTGGTCTGCCACCCATCTGCAAGCCACACCAGCCAAGAATGCGTGCATGCATGCACGTCCACGCGCCCTGCCGATTGTTCGAGCAACGAGGCGGCGATTGTGCTGATCGCTCACAAAGAAGTGGCTGAGAACAGGCGGGAGACACGGGCTACCACACCGCTGTCTCCCCGCTCGCACCATGTCGCCCTACGCATCGCTGCACGGGAGCTGATCAGTGCGCGCTCATTCTGGCGGCCATCCTACCAAAGGCATGGATCTGACGTGTCGGTAAGGCAAGGAGTGAGCGGCCTCTAGACGACGCCGAGGAACGCCGCGAGTAAGAGTGTCGACCAAGGGCGAGAACTTCCGATAATCGCAAGAGGGCGAGGGGGGGGGGGCGGCCGTTCGTCGGGTCCC